TGGGATTGTTATTTTGACTGGTGGTGGTTGTTGTTATTGCCTTGAGCCAGTAAATTTCTTAGTCCTTGCCTAGTCTGTGTGTCTGATGTGGCACACTTTTAATGCTCTGATAGTTTACAGCTCTGCCTTTCCTATCACTTACTACTTTCTCAGAGCCTGAAGGCCAGTCAGATGTGAGAGATTAGGGCCTTCTCAGATCTTTCCTGAGCATGCACATAACCTGTACATGTGTGTGGCCTTCTTGATTTCCAGGAATATGTTGGAGCTTTTCAAAACCCCCTATGGGACATCTCATTCTCTAACTTTTCTTTTTAAGTTTTTTGGTCAGCCCTTGGCCCCTAATGTTATTGCTGCTTCTGGTAGCTGTGATGTTGAAAAAAATTGTCATATTTGTTTTACACAAATGTCCCTGGGGAAATTTTTTTTTTAAATTTTGGAACCCTGGACCTTGGTGTTACCAATACCATGCTCTGACCAACTGAGCTGATCAGCCAGTCTGTAAATTTGTTTTTAAGACAAAAATTTTTTTTGGATTCTAATTCTTTAGAGTCTTAACAAATGATATGTAATACAAGGGTTGGTAAGTAGTTTGCTTGATCAATTCTCTTCCTTTTGTTAAAACCTAACCTTTCTTGACTGCTTCTCATTCCCTGATCCATGTCACAGCAAACAATATTCACCAGTTATTACTGCTTAACCCTGGATATAGTTGTATTATTTTTACATTTGCAATGTGTTATAACTTTTTTAATGTCTGTTATTTTGCACTTACACTTTGATCTTCTTTGTGAGAAGATCTTTGCCATATTTGTATCCCAAGCACCTAGCACTGTACCTGACATTTAGGAGAAGGAGCTTAAGTATTTATTCAGTAGAATTGAATGTTTGCTTTCAAGCTTCTTTGTAGAGTTATTAGATGGTCCTGCCTTTGGTGAACGTGGATGGACTTTGGAACCATATAATAATTGGATCTTAGTGGAGTGGGGAAAAGATATATGCTGTAGGTTGGATCCCCCCCACCTCCCAACCTCATTGAGGCTTAATCCCCACTGTAACTGTTGAGGGTGGGAAATCTTATTGTGGTAAATGAAAGGTGCGGCCTTGAAGAGGTGATTAGATTGTAGGACCATGCCCTAGTGAATGGACTAATAATGGTGGTCAGGAGAATGGTTCTGAGGGCTTTAAAAGGAGAGCACATGAGAGTCTTTCTCTCTTGGCTCTGCCATTTTCTGCCATGTGAAACTCCTGCATTGCTGTAAAGCCACCACCAAAGAAGACCCTCACAGATGGACTTTGGACTTCCCAATCTCAGAAACTATAAGCAACAAATTTAATTTTTTTTATAAATCACCCAGTTCCGAGTATTTTTTTTATAAGCAACAGAAATGGACTAATACAGAAAATTGGTACCAGAAGTGGGGTGTTGCTTATAACAAGTACTTGAAAATTTGGAAGCAGCTTTGGAACTGAGTGTTGAGGAGAGTCTGGAAGAATTTAAAGGAGCAAGCTAGAAAAAGCCTAGCTGCTGGTGAAAGTTTAGAAGACAGGAAAACCAGGGAAAGTTTGGAATGTTTTAGAGACTGGTTAAATGGTGTTGACCAGAATGCTGATAGAAATATTGACAATAAAGATCATTCTGAGAAGATCTCTGATGTAAATGAGAAGGGACTTATTGGAAACTGGGGCAAAGATCACCCTTGCTATGAACCATCAAAGAACTTGGCTGCATTCTGTTTATGTCCCAAAACTTTATGGACTATGAAACTTCAGCATGCCAACCCAAGATATTTGGCGGAAGAAATTTCTAAGCAGCAAAGCATAAAGGAAGCTGCATGGCTACTTGAGACGGCCTATGCTCAGATATGGCATCAAAGACATGACATAAAGCCAAAATTTAAAAGGGAAGCAGAGTGTAAAGGTTTAGAATACTTGCAGCCTGGCTATGCGGTAGAGAGGCAGAGAGCATTTTCAGGAGAAAAAATACAGTGGTGCTAAGAAGATTAGTACAAAAGAAAGGGATTATCAAGAGAAGGGGAAAAAGACCCTTAATGCATTGCAGAAGCCTCTGGGTCCAACCCTTCCATTACAGGCCCAGAGGCCTAGGGAGACAATGGTCTTGGACAACAGGCGCCCTCAGGGCCACATTGGGAAGCTGTTTTTAGCACCAGCACGTGGCTGCTTTGGCTGCTCCAGCTGTGACTAAATTGGCCCCAGATGTGGCTGAAGCCTTGGTGGCATCCACATGGTGTTAAGTTTGCAGGTACGCAGAATGCCAGAATGTGAAGGCTTGGGAGCCTACACCCCAGTTTCCAAGGATGTATGGAAAAGCCTGCTGGCCCAGGAAGAGGTCTGTTGCAGGGACAGAGTCACCACATAGTCTTTGCTAGAGTGATGCCAAGAGAAAATGTGGGGTTGGAGTTGTAGCAGAAAAACCTCAATGCCATGCCTAGTGGAGCCATGGGAGTGGGACCATCGTGGAGACCCCGGAATTGTGGAGGTACCAGCATGCAACACCAGCCTGTGAGAGCTGAAGCATGGCCTCAGACAGTGTGGTTGGGTTAATTGACAATCTTTATTATCAATTTTAAAAAGCTGGTTGTTTCAGCTTTCTGAACAATTGTGGCTCATAGGCTACCTTTGGTTCACTTATCTTTGGTTCACTTACCTCTATTCACTTATGCTTCTGCTAGTTATGTGTTTACTCTGTGTTTGTTGTTAGTTACCAGACTTGTTTTATGCAAGTTGTTTCATTGTTTTAACTCATAATTTAAATATTAAGCCAGTGAAATATGAGTGCAAAAAGAATGATTGTTTCTGTGAAAACTTAAGATAAGTTTTTTGGAAACTTCAGTAATGGTGGACTATTAAAATAAGGTTGCTGTGAAATGAGGAGTGGATAGGACATCTATGAAAGTTTGGAGACTGTATTATTAAAGTTGAGGAGAATTGTGCATTAGATTGTTTAACAGGTGTCACTGAATTTTCACTCCATTTTAAAGGAACCAAAATTGGATATTGTAGATAAAGCATCATGCTTGTGATTTATGTAAGAAATGTACACAGAGAAAAAGCCTGTTTTAATAGTGCATAAGTGAAGATTGGCAAATTAATGTACTTTATGTTTTTCAAACACATGCATGAAAATAGAAAGTTTAAGGTCTAAAGTTTAAGGTATCTGCGTAATTTTTGACATTTCCCATTTAAGTGAAGTTTTCTTTCCTTCTTTTTTTTTTTAGATGACCTGTAAGGGGATCTTAACTCTTTTTTTTTTTTTTTTTTT